TGCCTGCTCACACTGTTATCAATTTTTAGTTAGTTCACACGGTAATTCAATTAATCTGTTGTTCATCTCATCAATATAATTCTGCGCTTAGAATATTGTCGTCTCGTGTTGTCAGCACCAAATTAAAAATTAAAACTTCATTTGGAATATTGAGTCACAGCTTCTTTTTATTCATATCAGAAATTTTGTATTTGGATATTAATATTATTTGTTCAAAGTGAAAAAATCGATCATCATTTTCACTATATTGCATTCAGATTCTCCTATCCTTAACGTCAAAAATGTGAGATAATCTCATAATTCTGGCTATTCATTCTAATCAACTTTGTTCGAAGAAAATCTTAGTAAACGCAATATTAAGAAAGATGAATTATTCTATTTTCCTCTGACCTAAATGATTTGGACAATTATGATTCGTTTATTCGTGTTTCATAGAATGGTATTCAATTCCCTTTTGTTTGTGAGGTGGGCTTCATGAAAATTCGAGGGAAGACGATTGTATTCATGAAAACTGCCTTACTTTCTCCCTTCGTTCGAGATATTGCCCATGCTTTTGTAAATAATGGAAAGGGTATTTTTTTGCGAAAGAATAACGTGTATTCTTAATTGAAAAATGAGCAATTGACAATAATTTTCGTTATTTATTAATCAATTGCAATATCAATATCAATTATACGAAGTGAATAATTCATTCATCCAAATAAGTGATTCAATTTCCAACTGATAAAGTCTCTTTTTTAATCAAGAAAATTATTTTCATGTTAAAAAAACAATTCATTCAATGTGAATAAAAATGCGAATGAGAATTAAGGATATCCAAGTATTTTTTAGTTTGGTATTTCCAATCATCAAATTTGTCAATTAAATTGTGTGAAAAAATTGTTCAAAAAATCGTAATCATAAACATATTATCGAAATTATATTTTATACAGAACTATATTTTAAACATTCGTTGTTTATAAAATTCCTGTTATCAAAACTGAAATGAAAAATGGAATAATCAATTACCGACAGCTATTTCTCATTCAAAAAAGCCATAATTACTCGCACGGAGAGAAATATTCAGTAAAAATTACGGAACAATTCACGTAATCCGCAATGGACAATCGTTTTCCGGAAATTTTTATAGGAATGGAAGAGAAGAAATCTGAAACATTCAGTGAATTTTCAGGTTCATCACCAAACAAAGCACGAAATTGTCACGTAATTTTTCCCGAAGAAGTAAAATCTTACAGAAACTTGCCGACTTATTATGCCTCCAAAATAAAAAATTCTTGAACGTTCAACAATTTGTATGAAGCTGGTGAGTTATTTCTACGTTCCGTTCCGTAAAATTTCTCAATCGCTGGGGAAAAATTACGGAACGACTTGTTGTTCCCACAGCGGTGAGTCATCAGACAGCTGATTAATTTTTACGGAACAAATCGTAGAATTTACATGGCGATTCGTACAATTTCCCTTCCGAATCACACTTTTTATTGAATTTTACTTCGCTCGCGGATTACGTTTCGCAACGTAATTTTTACGTTTGTTTTTCTGGTAATTTTTATTTAATTTTTCTCTCCGTGCGGGCCATCGCGAATTACATCGAACAAAAAAGGTTTCAGTGTCTCCTCACTCCCCAATTTCGAAAAACCCACAAGCCCAAAAAAACCCGCACCAACTGTTCCCAAAATCTAAAATAAAAATGCCCGAGGCAACTCATTAAATCGCCACACGATTTCTCTCCCACGAGATAGTGATTATATCCACCAGATGCCAGAGCGAAAAGCGTGCCGAATCGCGAGGCTCGCACAGTTTCAGCCCGGCGTACGTTTATAGACACCCCATTCCCGTTCAGACATCAGTGTAATATGCGAATGGAGGAAAAGAATTTTTCAGGCATTCCTTTTTTTTCCCCTCTTAAGCGTTCCTTTTTTTTCTCCTCTGGCGCTTCCCTCCAGACATTGGAGCCTCTCGGTGGTTGGCGCACAACTGGGAATGCAAGAGGTGAGAGGATATACGACTTTTGCACAATCGAGGAGAGTCTGCACTGGGAACAGGGGGAACTGAAACGCCTCCAACAATCCTCACAGGCCCATTGTTAGAATTCTCATTTTGTCTATGTCCCTTTTAAACTCCCTTTCACCTTGCACTTTTTATTTTTGGCGAGGGGTTAACGAATGAAGGCTTTTCATCACCTCGTGAACTTCGAGTCGGGTTGCGGTATTACCCCAGGGGAATTTGCAAATGGCGATTGTAATGGGGAATTCCTGTTATCCGATTGAGCAATTGAGGTGTGAATGGAGTGTGAGATGATGGATCTGGGAATTTTAGCTTCCGAGTGGAAGCTTTGGAGTCGTTCCAATTTAAGTTTTGGATTTTTTGAGTTATATCGCATGTAACAGTTTTTCTTCAATTCTTCGCTAATGAATGGGTGGAATTGAATAATTTCTAATCAAATGTAAGTTCTGTTGAGCCCTATCGATCGCCATCAATTAAAATTCAATTCATCGATTAGTTTTTTAATTTTCGAATTTTTTCGAAAATCGGTTTTTCCACGATGACTAAAAAAATGTTCTGAATTGATTGAATGATGGCTTGAAAAAATTTTTCGGATGTCCTTTGGACCGAGTTCGAAGATGAAGGCGATAGCAATAGTCGTTATTTTGATTTATTTGAAAATTTGGAAAAATTTTGTATTTTTTAAAAATCAGAATTCCGGGGATATCTTTGAATATCACGCTTCAAATGAATTCAATCATAGCTTAAAATATTTGCTTTAATGCCATTAAGTTGAAGTTAAAAGATGATTACGATAGCTATATTGGTTGATTTAATTTTTATGATTATTGAAAATTTCGAATTTTTCATGAATTTCCCTGAAAGTCAGCTTTCTGATAGTTTCTTCAAATGTGATCGGTTGTACAGAAGAAAGGGATAATAAGAATAATGATGATGATAACATTCAACTAAGTTGAAAACCTGACAAAATTAGTTGAAAAGAAATCTTATTCAATTTAATAAAATACAATAAACAATGAATTATACATGGTAGAAGAAAATGAGGTGGAGCAAAAATAACTATACTATATGCATTCCAGAATTAACCACAAAAAAATTACTCAGAAGTATTTTCTCAGTTGAAAAAAAAATCGTATTAGGGTCTGTATACCCCCATTGTCTGCACTGAACCCCCTTCCCCCCCTCCCATAACCCCAAAAAGAACTCAAAGAACTTATTATAATGGCGTTAACCCGCGCACACCTTCCGTGAGTGGAGATAACCGGACGCATTAAACGTTGGAATAAACATTGGATTGTTTGGAGTGGCTCCTCACCGCTGTTTGTACATTTCATAACTCGAAGGGGCTTTCATCCGAGTGTCCCGTCACGGGCGAGAGGATGGAAAAATAGAGAACAACCTCTCTTCCATCATCAAACCTCCATCAACTCGTTTTTTTAAACTCGAGTACCTCCGGACGTAAACAACGGACCCTTAAATTGCTCCTTGAATGTCTCGAATGCCCCCACCTCGGGACCATTTAGCAGCTCCGGAGCTAATTCAATTACTGGTACCCGTGCGCTCCTTTATTCAACACCGAGAAATATCGGGTATGGGATGAGCAAACAACTGGAGTTTCTTTTTTTTCTGGTTGAGAGATAGAACATCCGGATGTCGGGTATCAGTAGGCAAGCGTCGACTCGCCGTGTTTCCGGGTTTCGGATGATTTTTATTGAGTTTTAGATGAATTTTCAGAGGAAAAACGAATGTTCAGCGCAATTCAAGACACTTTTTTTTCGGTGACCCTTTCCGAACCTTCTTTTGTCGTCCGTTTGACCCTTAAGACCATTTGACCAGAACCAATTGATGATTTTTTGTTTTTATTTGAGGGTCAAATGGTCGTGAAGGTCAAATGAACCTTCATAACGTTCGGCGTTGAGGGTCAAAAGGTCTTGAAGGTCAAACGACCCTTGACGACGTGTGAGGTTAAGGGTCAAATGAATTTTTATGATCACTCTTCTGTAATCCGTTCGATTCGAAAGACCATTTGATCAACTCGAGGTGTGATTAAGGGCTGCTTGACCCTCAAAATCATTTGACCCTTACTTAAGACCAAAGAAAAGTTGAGAAAACTTTTTGTTTGTTTTCAGCTGAGGGTCAATTGGTCTCAAAAGTGAAACGGCCCTCAATGCCGTTTGGGGCTGTGGGTCAAAAGGGCTCAAAGGTCAACGACATTCAGAGTTGAGGGTGAAATTGCCTTAAGAGGCAAACAAACCTTGCAGACGTGTAGGGTTAAGGGCCAAATGAATTTTTATGATCTGTCTGTTATAATCCCGTTTGGGCCGCAAGACCATTTGACCCTCAATTTCAGACGTCCACAAGGGCTGTTTAACCCTCAAAAAATGGACCCTTACCTAAGAGCGAAGAAAAGTTGAGGATACTTTTTGTGTTTTTAGGTGAGGGTCAAATGGTATTGAGGGTTAAACAGAACTCATGAGAACGTTCGGAGTTGAAGGTCAACTTGTCTCAAGGGGCACACGCCCCTTGAAGAGGTGTAAGGTTAATTCTCTGTTCTGACCCATTGGACCCTTACGACCATTTGGCCCTTAATTCGGAACATCGAAAAGTTGAAGACCCTTTTTTTTTTATTTTCACTTGAGGATCAAATCGTCTCGAGGGTCAAGTGACCCTTAAGAGCGGTTCAAGTTGAGGGCCAAATTGCCTTAAGGGCTAAACGACCCTTGCAGACATATGGGTTAAAGGGTCAAATGGCTTTTCTTGTCGTTCTATTCTGACCCGTTTGACCTTCAAGACCATTTGACCCTTAGCCCCGAACCTCTTCAAGGGTCTTTAAGGGTCGTTTGACCCTCAACATCATTTAACCCTCATCTAAAAACAAAAAAGAAAGCTATCTGGGGTTTCATTAAAAAAAAAACCACCTCATGGTGATGAAATAACTTATTCTGAAGATAATTCTATTATTAAGATTTGATTTAATTGATTCGTCTGGCACTTACCGTCCACCTGAATGTGAAATGAAGCTGAAGTGTAACAGGCTCGGTAAGAGTAAATGTATTCTGTCCAAGCGCATGACTAGATACATTGCCAAAGGAGCATGAGCCAATGGCAGTAACATTTGACTGATATTCTTTCAAACACAGCCAGAATGCCGTTGTGCAGGGTTGAGAGCACGGTGGAAAGCTTCTACCGCCAGTGTCGCTTCCTCCACCGCAACACCGCCCGTCAACCAGTGTGCCTCTGTTGTTTGTCAACGAGAGTATCTGCACCTCGAAGTATCCGCTACCTGTTGTCGCCTGTAATCAGATTAAGGAATAAAATAATTAAACAAAACTCCGGAATTAAACAGCATCTTTCGGAAAAAATGTAAAAGTCACTCCACATTTTCGTGAATATCTCTTAAACCGTTGGGTTCAGAGGAAACTGTCTAATGACCTTTTTTGTAGAGGCGAAAATTTCTCACTAAAATGTATTTGTGATAATTTTTTCTAGGGCCACTCGCTGCAGAGTTAATCAGCAATTAATATTAGCTCAAAAAATGGGATGAATGAAATTGTGATTTAAGTTCATGATTCGTCGATTGAAATGCGCAAGTATCTCGAAAACTATCAGGTTTAGGAGAAAATATCATATAACCTTTTTTGTAGATAGTTAAATTTCCTACAAAAATGGTCATGAGATATTTTCCTCTAGACCTCTTCATTTCGGAGACATTTGCACTCAAAGAAGAATAAAACAGATGGATTGAAAAAATTTAACAATTCTTTGCCTGAGTCTTTGGATTAAGTCTAATAATCATCTTCATGTCCTCTTGTCCGAGGTGGTCTCAGATACTCGAATGTTCATTCTGTCTCGTGACAGTCCCACGTTTTCTAATTACCAGTTGAAATAACGTTCAACCGGTTAAACAATTATGGAGAAAAAAAGACGATAAAAATTTTCTTGATTAGCGAGTCATAATAACCTGTGGTTTTACGTCTAATGACGATGACAATAAGACGATATATTTATTCCCGAGAGAGAGGGGTTTAATCCATAAAACGTTACCGTGATAATGGTTTGTGAAATTTTCTCATATTTTTCGTGTAATTATGTTCATTTACGAGTGAAAAAAATTAATTGCCACTGTGGGTTATTGAACATGGAAATTTCTCTATTTTCATCTTTTATTCAACGATAATGGTAACGAAAGAATTTTTTTATGGAAGAGGATACTTGATTAACTTGTGATATTGAGAGGAATTCAAATATGAAGAGTACGAAATACGAAAATTAATTATATTGATTACTTATTGAAAAAAAATGACTGAAGAGAGATAAAAAGGGTCATTTGCCCCTTGAGACAATTTGACCCTCAACTTTCAATGTCTTCAAGGGCTGTTTGACCCTCGGACCATTTGACCCGCAACTAAAAACAAAAGGTTAACCGGTTTGAAGGGTCAAAAGACCCTTACGACGTTCGGAGTTGAGGGTCAAATGGTTTCAAGGGTCAAGCGAGTTAGAGTAGAGTGAACAGAAAGGGTCCATTGACACATAACTTTATACGTCTTCAAGGCTCGTTTAACCCTTATGATCATTTGACCCTCAGCCCTGAACGGCATTAAGGATCGTTTGGCCCTCAAACCATTCAACTCTAAACTAACAAAAAAGTGTCAAATTTTTTTGTTCCTGGGTGAGAATCAAATGGTTTTCAGGGCCAAACGATCCTTCAGGATGTTTAAAGTTGAGGGTCGATTGTTGGAAGGTCCACCAGCCTTCAAGGGTCGTCCGACCCTTTCACCTTTGCCGCCGAACACCCTTAAGGGTCCTTCCACCTTCAAGACCATTAGACCCTCACCTAAAACCAGTCATTTGACGCTCAACCCTATACGTCTTCAAGGGTCGTTTGACCCTTACGATCATTTATACGATTAATACGATTTGACCCTCACTCCTGAATGTTGTCAAGGGTCGTTTGGCCCTCAACTCATTCAACTCTAAACTTGAAAAAAGTGTCAAATTTTTTTGTTCCTGGATGAGTGTCAAATGGTTTTCAGGGTCAAACGACCCTTTAAGATGTTTAGAGTTGAGGGTCGATTGTCTGAGGGTCAAACAGCCCTTAGCAACAATGAGGATTAAGAGTCAAACGGTCTCAAGGGTCAACCGAGTTAGCCCAGTCTTCGTTTGCCCCTTAAAACACTTTAACCCTCAGCTCCAAACATCCTCAAGGGTCGACCCTTACGCCCCTTTGACCCTCGCCCCCGAGCATCCTTAAGGGTCCTTCGCCCCTCACAACCATCAGACCCTCACCGAAAACAAAAAAAAAGTCACCACAATTCCTAAACAGCCCTTTCCCCTGCTCCATTCTGCCCCAGTCCTATTACCGAATGCTAAAATAAACCTCCCACAGTCTCAATTACCCGTTAATCCTCATCTTCATCCAACCTAAAATGTCACTGATCGTTAAACGACTCGACATAGCCATTCGCCTTATATAACCGCGAGTCATAGGCACAAGTATGAGCCGCGAGTGAAAAAAAAAACTGAAAAAAAAGGAGAAAGAGATACTCCTGTGGAGAAGGAAGCGAGACGTCGCCAACGTGCAAGTGTATAGGCCGCTGGAGCGTGGAAAGCAAAGGCCAGCAGACGATCCTTTCTGCGCTTTCTACCTTCGATCTTATACCTAATGCTGCAATTATGTAGGCTATACGTTCATGCATATTATATACGAAAAAGAAACCGCATCGCTGGAGTGAGAGAGAGAAGGGAGCGAATATCGAATGGAAAAGTTAACTTGGGTATAAAATCCGATATCTCGAGAGAGTTAAACACTACTGGGGAATACGTACCTATGTACCCACATTATTACTGGCACATTAATATGTACCTAACGGGAAATGTACACGTGCGAGGATAATCGGAACGTCTCTAAATTTCCTGCTAAAAATTATGTGATTTTGCGGAGTTTTTTCTGCTGCTGCTGTATGCTGTTGCTTCATGGGGGTTTAGAAAGTGCTTTCATTCGGCTCGATGAAGTGGAGGGTATGATTGATGGTTATGTGACAATGATGATGAAGGGGGAGATTCGTTTTATGGGTTGAGGAGGATAAAATGTGGAAAAATTCTTTGGTTCTGGAGGTTTTAGTCTTTAGCTGCTTGTGACACTGCTGTAGGAAAATAATTCTGAAATTGGGACTTTTAGTATCTTGTTAAGATGTCCTGGTCTCCAAATTTAAGTCTGGGTGTTTCACTTGAGGGAAAAATAAGTTTCCACCTAAACATGATAATTTTGGGAGTAGTAATTGTTATCGTGAGACATTTATATGTCTTTTAGGTAAATACATTCGTTCTGCAGAGAATTATATGAGGCTCCGGTTTTATCAAGTGAATGTTATTGAGTAGTGGATATCTTTGTCCAATAAACACTTATAATTTCCATGGAGCAAATGATAATTTCAAGAGGAAACTACAATTTTCTTACCGAAAACTGAGTTATTGGCAAAACTAAATAATTTCGAGGGGGCAATTTTTTTGGGAAAAAATATTCTTTCCTCGTGAATGTATTCTTTCTATGGTATAAACCTATGGAGTTCTCTCAGATCAAATGACTGTCGTACAATAGATTATATTTTTTCCTGCCAACAGTTCGAATTCTTCTCGGGATATTTCTGATGATCACGACAAAAATTTAATTTTTGTGAAAGATATTAAATTTCCTTCTATCTTCTGCCGAAAAATTATATGTTCCCCTGAAGAGATCGTTTGTCGTGTTGAATCAATTTACTTGTGGACAAAAAAGAAAGTTTCCACCTAAACATGATAATTTTGGGAGTACTAATTGTTATCGTGAGATATTTATATGTCTTTCGGGTAAATACATTCGTTCTGCAGAGAATTATATGAGGCTCCGGTTTTATCAAGTGAATGTTATTGAGTAGTGGATATCTTTGTCCAATAAACACTTATAATTTCCATGGAACAAATGATAATTTCAAGAGGAAACTACAATTTTCTTACCGAAAACTGAGTTATTGGCAAAACTAAATAATTTCGAGGGGGCAATTTTTTTGGGAAAAAATATTCTTTCCTCGTGAATGTATTCTTTCTATGGTATAAACCTATGGAGTTCTCTCAGATCAAATGACTGTCGTACAATAGATTATATTTTTTCCTGCCAACAGTTCGAATTCTTCTAGGGATATTTCTGATGATCACGACAAAAATTTAATTTTTGTGAAAGATATTAAATTTCCTTCTATCTTCTGCCGAAAAATTATATGTTCCCCTGAAGAGATCGTTTGTCGTGTTGAATCAATTTACTTGTGGACAAAAAAGAAAGTTTCCACCTAAACATGATAATTTTGGGAGTACTAATTGTTATCGTGAGATATTTATATGTCTTTCGGGTAAATACATTCGTTCTGCAGAGAATTATATGAGGCTCCGGTTTTATCAAGTGAATGTTATTGAGTAGTGGATATCTTTGTCCAATAAACACTTATAATTTCCATGGAACAAATGATAATTTCAAGAGGAAACTACAATTTTCTTACCGAAAACTGAGTTATTGGCAAAACTAAATAATTTCGAGGGGGCAATTTTTTTGGGAAAAAATATTCTTTCCTCGTGAATGTATTCTTTCTATGGTATAAACCTATGGAGTTCTCTCAGATCAAATGACTGTCGTACAATAGATTATATTTTTTCCTGCCAACAGTTCGAATTCTTCTAGGGATATTTCTGATGATCACGACAAAAATTTAATTTTTGTGAAAGATATTAAATTTCCTTCTATCTTCTGCCGAAAAATTATATGTTCCCCTGAAGAGATCGTTTGTCGTGTTGAATCAATTTACTTGTGGACAAAAAAGAAAGTTTCCACCTAAACATGATAATTTTGGGAGTACTAATTGTTATCGTGAGATATTTATATGTCTTTCGGGTAAATACATTCGTTCTGCAGAGAATTATATGAGGCTCCGGTTTTATCAAGTGAATGTTATTGAGTAGTGGATATCTTTGTCCAATAAACACTTATAATTTCCATGGAACAAATGATAATTTCAAGAGGAAACTACAATTTTCTTACCGAAAACTGAGTTATTGGCAAAACTAAATAATTTCGAGGGGGCAATTTTTTTGGGAAAAAATATTCTTTCCTCGTGAATGTATTCTTTCTATGGTATAAACCTATGGAGTTCTCTCAGATCAAATGACTGTCGTACAATAGATTATATTTTTTCCTGCCAACAGTTGGAATTCTTCTAGGGATATTTCTGATGACGACAACAAAATTCAATTTTTGTGAAAGATATTA